CCCCAAAGCCTAAACCCTAAACACCCTAAACCACCAAAAGCCCCAAACCCCAAAGCCTAAACCCTAAACCCCTCAACCCTAAACCCTAAACCCCTAAACCTTAAACCCTAAACCCCAAACCCTAAACCCCTAAAACCTAAACCCTGAAAGGAAACCCTAAAACCCTAAACCCTAAACCCTAAACCCTAAACCCTAAACCCTAAACCCTAAACCCTAAACCCTAAACCCTAAACCCTAAACCCAACCCGGATGTAGAGTCTCATCGGGCCTAGTGGAAACGAGGTGCATGTCAAAAGAGGAATGCAGGGGAATAGAAGCCTTGAAGCTGAAGTGCAGCTACCTGTAGGGTCCAGGGTTTAGGGTTTAGGGTTTAGGGTTTTGGGTTTTGGGTTTAGGGTTTTGGGTTTAGGGTCTAGGGTTTAGGGTTTAGAGGAAGTCAAGATAAGGATGACAGCTAGGAGTTCGAGAAGCACTGCAGCAAAGAGTCAAGGGCTTTGGTGGCTGGCTTTTCGCTGACAGCTCGCGCCGTGGTGCGCTGGATCAGCAGTGAAGCACTTGCAACGACGATGGCCCTAGCATTTGCAGAAAGAGTATCGAACAGACACTATAAGCCTTAAGCCCTAAACCCGTAAACCCCCAAACCCCCAAATCCTAAACCCTTAAACCTTGAACAAGCCTCAGCGTATCACACTTCTCTCATAGACCTTAAGACCAAGGATGTGGTTGCTAAGCCCCAAAATCCCTGCCCGCGTCTCGACAAAAAGGCCCAACAAATATCCGCTGGTTGTTTCTGTCAAACAAAAAATCGAATATCTTCGGCCTCAACCCGCCCACTCTGAGAAGGTGGGGGGTTTAGGGCGTGGGGGTGTGGGTTTAGGGCTTAACTGTTGGGATTTAGGGTCCCCCTAAACCCTAAACCCTAAACCCGTTTTGTTTTCGCTTTAGGGCTTTGCCGTTCTACCATGGGTCGCAGGAGATCAGGCAGAAGCTCTGCAACTATAAGATCGACTGGAACCACCGGATTTTCAGCATTGAGCCGCAGGCGCACAGGGGAGTCTAGGTTTGGTGTAGTACCTCGTATCCCGTATCTTGTAGCTTACATTACTCTATCTTGTTATGATTTTTAAACCCTAAACCCCCAAACCCCCAAACCCCTAAACCCCTAAACCCTAAACCCTAAACCCTAAAACCCTAAACCATAAACACTTATGTTATGCTATGCTTCGGGCCCTCCGGGCTGCAAGACTTCGCAAGTGTTTAGTTGCTGTTTAGGGTTTAGGGGATCTTCGCCTCCGCAGAGAGACACAGCTCATCTTGGCAATGGCATAATAGACGGGCCTTAATGAATGGGAGCAGGGTTTTGGGGTATATTCTGCTATACCGATAGTCAGGAGCTCCCGAAATAGTAAACCCTAAACCCTAAACCCTAAACCCTATTTTGGCCCCTATGTTGGTTGAGCTGCTGCACCTACAAGACGAGGAACCCTAAGGGTCCACGTGCCCAAATGCTATATACTTTGGCCCTAGGGTATGGTTCCTATTGTAGGTACTTCGGGGCCGAAGTATATACGATTTGGGCTCATGGAGCCTTAAGGGAAAGTTGCAGAAGTTGTTCCTGCAATGGTGCGATGATGATCCTCTGGCAAGTGATTGACTTGCCCATGAACCCCCGAATGCCAAGCTTCAAGCCTTATATCGATTCTAAAGGCTCCAAATCAAACACCAGTGCAGCCCAAAGTCCAAAACGCTTCCATCCGCCCTCCATGCTGTGCGTTTCGTCGCTTTCGTGACATCCTATAGCTGAGTGGGCCGTTGGTCGCCCCTGCCGCATCGCGCTGGGTGTAATTTGCCCCTAAACCCTAGACCCAAAACCCTGAACCCAAAATTGTTCCCCCAGCCCATGTTGCGATGGATCACTTAAAGCCAAAAACCCTAAGACCTTCGAAAACCTAAACCCTGAAGTTCGGATCCCAGCAGAGTAGATGCGTTCTAAGGGTTTCGAGGGTTACTACATGGGTGTAGCACAGGCACCTTAAGAATCGGGATAGGCGTTGAGGTACGTGATGGTATAATTATGGATAATACGGCATCCTCAGGAATGAGTTTGCTAACTAATACGGGGGCCTAAATAATTACCAATATTATTATGGGGGTTTCTTATTATAAGTATAGCATACCATACCCCAAAACCCTAGTCTAGTTATCTAGGCCCCCATATTATCCAGCTTCTAAGTTAGCTCTTTGTGCGGATGAAGGCGTGCAACCTGATTAAGCAAATGCTGGCGACGAACGAGACGGCAAGACCCACTGCAAAGGACCCGCCAACGCATGTACCGTTTTGAAAAGGGCAGGGTTTTAACATAGAAGCCTAAATAAATAATGATAATAATAAATAATAATAATGATAATAATTTCTAACATTACTGTTAGTGTTCCTTGTTATAAATATACTATAAGGGAGCCGAAAACCCTATTCTAATTACCAAGGCCCCTACGTTAGGCTCTGGGGGGAGGCAGAGGTTCAGAGGCCGGATCGTTTGTTTTTGCAGCGTCTCTGGTTCGGATGCATCCAGCTTGTCATTAGGGTTTAGGGTTTAAGGTTTAGGGTTTAGAGTAACTTGTGTGAACTTCTGTTGGTGTACACGAACCACCGGAGTTCAGTCAGCAAAGATGAACATGGAAAACATGAAGATCGTGGCAGCCGTGGCACTTACCTAATATAAGGCTTAAGCGGCTTAAACAAGTACCAAATGCTATTTTGGGGTTCCTTATAATAATTCTAGCATAATGGGTCCCAAAACCCTATTCTAGTTATTAACACCCCTGCACTCTAAACCCTTATAGCAGTCCGTATAGAAACCCTTAAAGACTCCTTTAAGAACCCTTTAAAGGACCCCTGTTCTAATTATTCAGGAACCTACATTAGCATCTTTCGTGGATCCTACCTTCCATGTATTGAAGCCACCGGGCCGGAGATTGACTCCCCTGAGAGTCTTCAGCCCTTGAATCATAAACCCTAAACCCCTAAATCAGTAAACCATTAAACCCTATAAACCCCTTAACCAGTAAACCCTAAACCGTAAACCCCTAAACCCTAAACCACTGAACCAGTTAAACCCTAAACCCTAAAACCCTAACCCCTAAACTCCTAAACCCTAAGCCCTAAACCCCTAAACCCTAAGCCCTAAACCCTCCAAACTCCTGCATCCCAGAGCCTTAGAGCTCTGAAAGCCTTTTGGATCCCCTTTTGGGAACCCTTATGGGAACCCTCATAGCTTAAAAGGAAGCCTTAAAGGGAGAGACTCAAGCCCCTTATGGGATCCCTCATAGCTGTCATAGCTTAAAAGGAAGCCTTAAAAGGAGAAGCTCAAGCCAGTACTCTTCGTCGAAGCGGGGCCTTAATTCGACGGACGGAGTACGAAGAGACTCAGTCCTAGACTCCTAGTCAGTACCAAGGAGAACCCTGAACCCAAGACAGCCCCCCAAAGTTGGAAAAGCACGGAGGTGTTGGAGCAGGCCTCAGGAAAAAACACCCTAAACCCTAAACCCTAACCCCTAAACCCCTAAGCCCCGAGTCTCGTGTGGGGTCTGTTCAGACAGCCTCCTGCCCTCAAGACTTTCCTTGATGAGCTTGACAAGCTGTGCCCACCAGTTCTTCCAGAGCTGCCGCGCACGGATGAACCAGTGCATCTATTCACGGATGGGTCTTGTTCGAAACCGCCAACAGGGAGAGTCATTGAGCGGACGGCATCCTGGGCTGTGCGCCTCGCGGAGCCTCATTCCGACCGAAGCACACTCCTTGCAGCCGGGATTCTCCCAGGCCGCAAACAGACTGCATACAGATCAGAACTGTTCGCTGTGGCTTGCGCACTTGCAATATCCAGTCACGCAGAGGTATATACTGACTGCCAGGGCGTGTACAAAGGAGTTGTCAGGCTGCAAACCTTGGGTTGGGACGAACTTTATTGGCGCAGCTCAAGCAACGTTGATCTGTGGCGAACGGTGTGGCGGCTGCTTCGTCAAGCGAACAGAGAGCTGAACATACATTGGATTCCATCACATCGGGAAGTATCCCAGGCCACTGGAACTGCTGACTTATGGAAGATTGTGAACAATAATCCTGCTGATGATAGTGCCAACATCAAACGACATGCTTTGCCGGAACGCGCAGCTTCTGCATACAGGTGCCTCGTGGATCAGAACAATGCCATTGATCGAATGAAGAGACTTTCAACTGATTTCTTGCGTGTGGTTTGGGATGCCCATTCATTCTGCCGAACAACATGGAGGAGCGTAGTGTACTTTTCTTGAACCTACATCGAAACGGATGTGGATGTGTCACACGGTCACACCGCACCGTCGGACATGTTCACTTGCAAGTGTTTGCCTAAGCCCTTAAACCCCTAAACCTAAACCCCTAAACCCCTAAACCCTAAAAACCCTAAACCCTAAGCCCTAACCCAAGAAGCTGCTGGGCCCTTTCTTTAGGACTCAACAGCCCTAGAAAAGCCTTAGACCCTGAAGTTTAGGCCCAAGCTCTAAAGCCCTATATAATCCTATATCCCCAAAACCCTCTTTGCCCTAATGCCTAAAACCCTGAAGCCCTAGACGCACCAAACCAAATTTCAAGCCCTTCCAGGACGCCCTGTCGCATCCTTGGCTCAATGAGACGCAGCGCCGCCGATCTCTGCCGAATCTTGGAGGTTTGGGCCCTCCAGACTTCTACAATCGCTGACTGCATATGTGCATGCATCTATATATAAATAAAAACTACACATATATGATGCATAATATATATATATATATATATATGTACGTTTATATATATATATATATATATTTATGTATGTATGTAAGTATGTATGTATGTATGTATGTATGTATGTATGTATATTATATTATATTATATTATATTATATTATATTATATTATATTATATTATATTATATTATATTATATTATATTATATACGTATACACATCCACAAGGCCTATAAAGGCCACTACAAGTAAGGCTTGCTATAAGTTCTTGAGACGGGTAGGTCGGTTTCAGTGGGTCCCCGGGCTGGTTCTTCCTAAGGATTTGGGTAACCAGGTGTGTTTTGTGTGCTTTATTTATTAATTATAGGGTTTAGGGTTTAGGGTGTTGGGGACCCCCAAAAGCACGTAAGCATAAGCATTTTATAGGGATATCCCTACCTTATTGGGCTTCATGACCGGGGATTTATATGGGAGATCCCTATCCTAATTTTTGCTAGTGTGTTTTTTGGGGGGCCCTCTCGTGTGTGTTTGTTAGCGGTTTGGAGTTCTCTCTCGTGGACCCTAAACCTTAAACCCTAAACCCCGATCATCAGGCAAGGCTGCTGATGATCTCTCTTGCTTCAAGAATTTCAGCCCTGTGGCCCTCATACCCACGAGGCCCTAAACTCTAAACTCCTAAGCCCAGGGTTTAGGGTTTAGGGTTTTCGGGTTCAGGGTTTAGGGTTTAGGGCTTTTGAACCGTGAGGATCAGGGGTCTCTGGAACCGTACTGTAGTAGCCTTTGTAATAGGAAGCCAGCTGTTGAATCGCATCGGCGGCCTGTGCTATGATAGAACTGTTTATGTAGGGACAAAAAATTAAAAAAAGGCGGGTGTTCCTACTAAATTTGTCTTCAGACCCCTATATTGCCTGCCACAGCCCCAGGGCCCTGTAGCCCAGCCTCGCACCCACAGCACGACCCACTTCTAATCCCTAAACCCCCAAAACCCGAAACCCTAAACCCCTAAACCTGAAACATCCCGAAAGCCTCCACCCTCCCGCCCTGTTCAGATTCGCCCATGAAATCATCGCCGGTGTGGAGCCCAGCGGCGCGGAGAGAAGCGAGTTCAGGGTTGAAAGTCTTACGTAGTCTAGGACATTCTCAGGTGGGTAGTTACCGTTATGGGAGCCTTATAGAAGGTCTATATACCTTATAGAAGCCATATAGAAGGCCTATATACCCTAAGCTCCCCACCTGTAGTTTCCTGTAACGTAGTGTTTCGGGTTCAAGGTGTAGGGCTTAGAGGATTAAGGGTTCAGGGTTGAAGGCCTTCGTGTTTAGGGTTTAAGGTTTAGGGTTTACAGGGTTTAGGGTTCAGGGTTTAGGGTTTAAGGATCAGGGTTTAGGGCTTACAGGGTTTGGGGTTCAGGGTTTAGGGTTTTAACCTTTTTGGAGCCACGGTTTAGGGTCGAGGGTGCACACCCGCGAGGTCAAGATCATGCCGGCATTGCCCGCGATGCCAGTCCTGTGTCGTCTTCACATTCGCTCAGTGCCGCTGTCAGCGTTGTAGATTGTGATTTCCTTGCTTCGTGTCTTCATGATAAGATAAAGTGAACTTCATGCAAATCGTCTTGTCACGAAGATCATGGCATATGAATGACCTTCCAAGTCAGTACTAGTCAGTAAACCCTGAGCCCTAAACCCTAAACCCTGAGCCCTAAACCCTGAGCCTTATAAACCCTAAACCCCTAAACCCTAAACTGTGAAACCCTGAACCCTGAACCCTGAACCCTAAGCCCTTAAACCCTAAACTCTGAAACCCTGAACCCTGAAACCCAAGCCGTTTCACTTCACCGTGGAAGTACAGCGACAGGGAGCCACGAGGCAGAGGTGGAGGGTTTAGGGTTGAGGGTTTAGGGTTTAGCAGGGACAGGGAACAGACTTCCACAAGACAACATCTGTGGACCTCTTTCTGCCCTTAAGTAGGGTTTAGGTGCTTGGGGGTGTAGGGGTTTAGGGGTTTAGGGTTTGGGGTTTAGGGGTTTCGGGTTTGGGGTTTAGGGGTTTAGGGTTTGGGGTTTAGAGGTTTAGGGTTTAGGGGTAGGGGCAAACGGTCATCTAGAAACCCTACACTTCAAACACAAATGGTAGGGAAGTATGGTAGATGCCTTGGTATGGGTAACTCAGGGTTTTTTATCATCAACCGTATGGCTCAGAAGTCAAATCATCAACCGTATGGCCATTCAGAAACCCGAAACTCGAAACCCCCAACCCTAAACCCTAAACCCTAAACCTTAACCGTATAAACTCGAAAACCCCAAATGGTAGGTATTTAGGGCTTCAAGGTCGACTGTACCTCTCTGCCCCGGGAAAGTGCGCAGCCCAACCCCCGTAGTCTCCTCGTACCCAGAAACTCCAGTATTCCTGAAATAAGGAATATTCCCTAAATCTTGGTAGGATCCTTTATATGATTTAAGGTATATTCCTTAATTAAGGGATATTGGAGTCTCCTCGTAGCTTTGATGGTAATATAGGGGGCCTATTGTTTCTTTTTGGTTTAGGGTTTAGGGTTAAGTAGTATGGTGGTAGTATAGGGGGCCTATTGTTGTTTTGTTGGTTTATTTAGGATTTAGGGGTTTAGGGTTTAGGGTTCCCTAAACCCTAAACCATTTTTGAGGATCCTTATTAGAGTCAATAGTAAAATATACCCCCCCTTTAAGAAAACGCTATTCTGATTACTAAGGGCCCGATCTGGGGCGAGCTTGAGTCTTTGACTTCGTCTAGGACATGTTCAGGAGGGTAGTTACCGTTGTAGGAGCCTTATAGAAGGTCTATGTACCCTATAGAAGCCCTATGGAAGCCCTACATACCCTAACCTCCCCACCTGTAGTTTCCTTTAACTTCGGCTTAGGGCTTAGGGTTCGCGTCCCTTCCCGAGTTGCAAGCCGACAGCCGCAACTCGATAGAGCTCTCCCTAACAGAGGGGCCTTAATAGGTAGAATAGGGTTTTGGGGTTCCTTGTTTTTAATTATAGTAAGGAACCCACAGAAATAGTATAGGGTATTTTTTGGGCCCCTATATTGGACATTAGACGCCTGCAAAGCTGTCGGAAGCAAAGATGCGATCCCCAAACCATAAAACCCTAAACTACCCTAAACCCTAAAACCCTAAACCCTGAACCCTAGACCCTAAACCCTAAACTCTGAACCCTGAACCCTAAACCCGGAATCCTATACCCTGAACCCCTAAACCCT